AGACTTCTTTTCATGTTCTTGAGAAAGTTTTCTGCCAGAAAGCAAGCAAGCATATTTTTCTTGGACACTGTTCATGGAGGTTGATGTTATAAACTGTCGTTCACACTGTCTGAGTTGTCACAGAAACTGATTTTCACTGATGGCTCCTGTGCCAAGTCTGAGACAGCTGCCCGTCTGTTGTTCACAACTAGAGCGTGAAAGTCGTGCACTGTCTGTGGCGTTACTTTAACCCTATTCAGGACTTTCATGTTGCCACATGTAGAAGGTCTTTCGGGGTCCATTAGACCCCAAGAAACAATATGTGCAAAATAGTTGTTGGTATTCATGATAGACTTTATTCTATGTTAAATACATTTTCTGAAAGTTTGCATATATTTGGTTCTAAATGCATGACAAATGTCCCTCTTTTTATATTTAAAAAAAAAATTTCTTTGAAAATCAAAAACAATACCTGTCACCTAAAGCAAATAGTCTGGGGTCCAAAAGACCACACAAGTCCTGAATGGGGTTAAGAGGATGACCACTGCAGCTCTGATTAGCTGTTGCGGGACTACAGCTCGTTTTATACTTCTTGATTACTGCTGCAACTGTGTTTCTACTGATTTTTAGTTGACCACTGATTTTCCTTTCTCATTTTCTATCTTGTGATGTATTACAAACAGATTTTTCAGTTCCTCTGGCAATTCTTTTTCATCTGGTGCCATGATGCAGACATGCAGATAGACAGGGCCCAAGGTCCAAACCTAGGACAATTCTGTTGTTCAGGGCTCATTTTATAGCCATGTTCATGTAGTTAGGCTGATTAGAAATCACAGGTGAACTCACTTTTGTTGTCTACTGTAGATACAGTGTAATAATAGCAGAGTGACACTCCTTGTTTTGCTACTTCAGGTGTTTTGAATTTGAGATAAAAACATAGCAATGAGACAAAAGTAGAGAATGGCCTTAGCTATTATTGTATGCTATTTATGTGCAAATAGCATCTAAAAATATTTTTATGTAGTGTACAAAAGTGTGTTTTCAAACTGCTGGTTATGTACCTTTGTAGGGCACTGTCTTTTATGGTTAATTTAAAGCTAACTCATTAGTTCAAATTTTTATGTAGATCCTTTTTTTTTTTTGGTTGCCGTCATTAGATTTAACACAGTATCAAAGGTTTTTTTTTTTTTAACGTGCAGTCTGACAGTGAGTAATAATCCTCCAAAAAAAGGCATAAATTAAAGTTTTACCACTTAAATACCTGTCATACCGTTTGGCCATGAGCCCTAAAAATACAAACTGTTATTCCTCAACTTCAGTGTTGTAGCTGCAGCTCTCGACTTTTGCTCAACTGCCTTCCAGACAGAGATGCTTGAAGTATCTGGAGGCCCAGATGAGCAGTGTGAGCGCTGATTAGCTCCCCTCCCTCCTCAGACAGTGATGCATCGCCATCATTTACCAGAATGCAGGAAAGCAGAGTAATTTGAGAAACGTCACAACTTACTCCAGCTGCAGCATGCAGCCCCACCGCCATCGCTGTGCTCTCTCACCCCCACCTCCCTCACCCTCACCCCCACCTCCCCTCGACCACCGCCCTGAGCTAAAAATAGCACGTCCTCTCTCATCACCCAGCCATCACGTCAGGGCTGTGTTCACTCTCATTTGCTGCCCACGCCTCTTTTTTTGTAGTGATGTTTTGACAGTGTCAGATGATCACATTAGCGGGGGGTGAACACATTTGGCATCCATCAATGAAAATAGATTTTTGGCTAATTTGAGACATATAAATGACCATTTAAATAATGTACAATTTTCCTAATATACTGTGTTTTTACATCCTGTTTTCTTCTAGTATTTCAAATGTTTTAGATTTTGTGAAACTGGATTAAGGAAGGAAATAGTTTTGAAACATGACTTCTGCTATTTAATCTGGTATTTTGTGAGAGAACGCTCTTTTCATACAGTTGTGTGTTAGTTCCCTGAAACCATGTCACTGCACCGCCTCGTTAAAAAAAGACATTAGCTGGCTGCTCACAGAGTCTCATCTCGGCTGTTTCTCATTCACAGGACGAAGGGTGGAAGCCGTTGCTGGAGATGAACTGTTGGTGAGTGACAACATCTCATATCTGTAGTTCAAACTGTATGTTTTCCATCAGCTGAGCAGTGAGACAGAATGATTCACTTCTTTTTTAAAAGTAAAAATAGCAATGCAAAATTCCTGTGTATCTTACTTACAAATCTTAGTACTATGAGCAAAATGTGGTTAAGATATCAAAGGTAAAAGCACTTATTCTTCAAATACAGAAAGCATCATTATATTTTTAATGTGCCAGTTTTTAAAATACTCACGTGTGATGTGCAGTTTAGTTTGGAAACGTAACCCAATCTAAGCTTGAACTTGCAATATTATATCAAAATTACCGTTATGCACAATAAAGGGATTTTGATAAAATATTTCATTCAAAAAATTGCCAAAATAAACCATTTGTAAAACCTGGTTCTGTCAAGAAAATAAATAAATTCTGCACTCCTCAGTGCAAACGGGGAGCCATGACTGATTCAGCTGTGACCAACAAGCGTGTGACAAAAATTTACTTTCTCACTGTAATTAAGATAATTTTGAACAATGTAATTCTTTTAAGTGATGAAACTCTGATTTGAAATATAAATGTGACAGTCCGCTTTATTCAAACACGTGCAGCAGTGACGTTGCCACAAATACCGTCAGTAGCATCACAGCAGCCGACAGTCACCTGCAGCTTTGGCCTGTGTTTGCAGGATGAGTAGCAGGCGTGTTTGGTGAGGAAAGGTGTGTTTGACAAGATCACAAATTAACAGCCGTATTGGCAGCAGATGTTCACGTTGCGGAGCGTCGTGCAGCGGGACCGTGGTGTTTGGAGAGCGGGAGTTGATTTTGTTAGTGTGTGCTCTGCTGATGCTCAGATAAAGAGCGTGTGCACCGGGCGGAGCACCCATCAACAAGTCATTTCATTCTGAGGATGTGCAGCTCACTGATAAAATGGGAGGCTGAGAGGGAGGAGAGCAATGAACCTGCTGCTGCTGCACAAACCTCAAAGCTCATTCTGGGCTGCTGCTTGGTGGTGTGATTGTAAATTTAATCCAGGTAGAGGTTTGCCTTTTGTGATCTGTTATAGTAAAGTGTCTTCAGGTTCATCCTCTTCTCGTGCTGGATACTCAGTGTTTGAAATGCCCTTAAAGGCGAAGCGGCAGCCTCACAATCCCCTATAGAACATGTCTGGCTGCAGGTGGGATATTTTTAACCTGAAACCCACTGAGACGCGTTGGCTGGATGTAATTAAAGAGACATTTATAAAGCGCAGACATGTGAGTCATGGAGTTTATCCTCCGCTTGCAGCCCTCACTCAGTGCACGTCAGGCCTTGTTCAAAGAACAAGCTCCCGTTTGCATTCGAGTCACAGAGCTGAGCAACTGAATTTCTGGCTCGTAAATATCTGAAGTTCATTTAAGAACACTTTCCTCAAAGGAACAGCTAAGAATGCTTTATTGTATGGGTCCATTTTTCATAATTTAGCTGTAAATTAAAAACAAATATTTCCAGGAAAGTGCTACATAGTTTCCTATTCATTTTAATAAGTCTTAGCTGCTGCAGGTTTAAGCACCCACAGGTTGTTTGACTTATGTAGTGTGTAACTTAAAAACTGGTGATCGTGCTTTTTAAAATAATACATGAGTAAGAATATGTGCAATTTCCTGATTGTAGTTACATACTTTCACGAGAGTGACATATTAAGTGCAAAATGTTTACTTGGAGCAGAGAATTTCTGTAGAACAGTATCTGTGCTTTTATTTAAGTGAAGGATCTGAATACTTCTTCTGCCATTGAGATTAACCAAATGAGTTGTAACACCATAATTAGGAGGCGCTGGTCGGAGGATTTGGTTACTTTTTCACAGAGCCAGGTTACCTGTGAGCTTTTGTTTCCAGTCTTTATGCTAAACTAGTCTGCTGCTGCGGTCTAGTAGTAAATCAAAGGACCAATTCCCACTACTTACTTAAATGCATAGTTGAAAGGTAAAAATTTTAATTTGCTGTTTAAAATGAACCTTTAAGTTGTAAACATTATTTTATGGGTTGGGTTGACATAATCATGTAATTGCATCAATATAATATTGTGTGAAATTTCAACTCAAACGTTTGCATCCAATGAATAAAAAATATATTCAAATTGTGGTAACTAAGTTAAATTGGCTTAATAACTTAATTTTTCTTCACCTTGACTTCAGGATTTTAAGTCATCCCCCTCAACAATTAAACATGTTTGGACAATATCAGACAGTTAAGATTGTTTGTTCGAAGACCTGTAAGCTGACGAAATGAAGTGTCATTTGACAAATTTGCTCAGCTGGAGGGTGCTTTTCATATTTATGAACAATGCATTGCACAATTTAAATTTGTGTCATTTTTGCTTTCATGATTCAATCTGTTGCTGTAGTTTTTAAAAGTTGATTACCAACAATTCTGCTGTTTAATTTGATTCTTAAAAGCTACTTAAACATAAAAATATAATGGTAGCTAAGAATTATATCTTTTAGGTAACATTAAAAATACGACTTGAAACAACTTAATATTCATGAGTAATCAACTCAAAGACTTGTGTTCATGTAACCAAGTATTAAGTTAGTGGAAATGACTATTCCTGTCTCGAGAGGAAACAGGAATGGTGATTTGTTGAGCTAAAGCATTGTTTTGAATCAAGTGGTTGTAGCTTTATTTTTAGCATAAGAGTGATATTAGACTCAAAAATGTTTTAAAAGTAGAACTTTTTCTTTAAACTAAAATGTTATTTTAACTTGTTCTAAAAATACTGTATCAAAAAATGGTAAACTCATATAGTTGTAGCAGACACAATATAATCATAATAATATTCATTTTTAGGTCACTTTAAAGTCCAAGTTAGAAGTGCTTCATGAGGCTGTAAAAGACAACAGGCACATAACAGAAAATGTAATCCATTTTAACCCATTAGAAACCATCTGGATAAAAAATATTTTTTCTGTTGCTCATTTAAAAAATATTACAGAGTAGCATCACAGTTGCAGTCTGCATAATCGTCAGTATATAAATGCTCATTGAAAGGGAAATACCTGTTCACATCGCTCAACTGGCTCATTCAAATTCTGTGGACGAGACACACAGCAGGAAAGGCAGGACGGTCACGACGCCCTGCAAACAGACGCATAATCATCAGAGCTGCTGATCTGCCACTGGGAGTCGCGATAGAAGTGACGCATGCACACGTTTTGCACAGATTTACTGCACGTCACTTTCTGCTATCACGTTTAAATATGATCTCATGAGTAAATCTATTGTTAGGATGTGTCAGCCAATGATCTGTGTGTTGTACTGTGTTGAATGCCAATTCAGCGCACATGGTAATCTTCTAAACATTTTATGACAATTCTTTTTCACTGCTTCCTTGATGTTCTTTGAACATCTAGAGGAAAATGTTATAGAGCTGCAATAATATATATTTTTTTGTTTGGTTTGTTTTAGTTTTTAAAGCCAAAGTGGAAATATAACAGCTTGTTAAATGTTAGGGTTTCTTGTTTTGCTCCATTTTATACAATTGTAAAATTAATATGTTTGTGTTTTTCCTGAGAGTTGAATATTAAAGTTTCAAAAATAAGATTCCTTAATTAATTGGTTAGTTCGTTTTCTAAATGCAAAAGTGCCAGATATTTCTGTTTCCAGATAGCTAAATGTCAAAATTTGCTGTTTTTCATTGTAAGTTCTTAGAAGCCTGGAACTTGACTTTGGAGGATGGATTTTTTTTTTTTAATTAAAAAAAACAAACAGACAAACAAAAAAAGTTGACCAATATAGACAATAATCAGTGGGTGCAGTTCTAGCTGAACATGCAGACTGTGAGCCTTAACTTTATGCCCATTTATGGCACATTTTCATATACGTAGTTAAAATATTTTGTTATTTTTAAGACTATTTCTAATCACTGCTTCCTTTTAACTGTACATATTTAATGAAAAGTTGCTAGTTGAAAGCTAAGCAGATAATTTTATAAGCAAAAATGCCCAAAATGTTCAGGTTCCAACCTCTTTAATGTGAGAATTTGCTGTGTTGTTGCTGTTTTATATCAGTTTAAATGCATATATTTGGTTTTCTGCAGAATTTGGTTTAGACCAAAAGATTAATCAAGAAAAAATTGACAGATTAATTGTTATTGATAATAAGTATTAGTTGGAGATTGTGATTTAAAGATTTATTTATTTCAAACATAAAGAGGTTTAGAAAAGATTTTATAACTATTATTGATCTCAGCCGGAAAATTAAATGAGAGCTATGCCATCAAGATGGTTTATCAGTTAGTCAGTTAATTCCGTCAGTTCCTTTATATTATATTACATATTTTTTGAAACCAAAAGTGCCTGATTTCTCTTGTTCCAACTTCTAAAATGTTTCCAATTGTAATCTCTGTTGGCTGAACAAAGCTGCAATGACAAGTTGATTAATTTGTTCGTCGATCAACAACAGATGAATCGCAAACTTTTTTTTAAGATACGTTAATCAAATAATTTCTTAAAGCAAACATTTGCAAAATGTTGTTGTTCCTCCTTTTTAAATGTTCAGATTTGTTTTTTGATTTTTTTAGTTTTATAATATTGTAAAATGAATATATTCGGCTTTCTCTGACCAGACAATTAATCGAGGAAAGAATGTGCAGATTGATCAATCCTTACAATAGGTAGTTGTAGTCACGGTTGAATCAGAGTCTTGCATGTTAATGTAAATTAAGAAAGATTTAAATTGAAAGTGAGTAATAATTCCCACCTCCATTGAAAATAAATTCCTGCACTTGCAGAGCAGATTCTGGCTCAGCGTTACACAACGATGCACACTGAAAAGGCAATCAATCTGGTGGGCTGCGCCACTAGCTCACTGCATCACAACAAACCCCACCAATCAGGCTCCAGCCTCATGCGTCTCCATGGTAACAGAGCTTCCTTAGTCCCAGAGAGGTGGAGACAGCAAAAGGGGGAGAGCAGAAGAGAAAGAGAGGTGGATGGGAGAAGGAGAGAGGTAAAGGAGAGGGAGAGAATCGATACCT